CACACACACACACACACACACGCACACACACACACACACACACATATATATATATATATATATATATATATATATATACACACACAACACTTATGCGTGTAGATATAGAAACGAACATGGCGACGTGTAAAAAAAAATGGGTTGTACGTCTAGTTGATCCAGTCGAGAGTCGATGGCGTGGCATTCTACAGTTTGAAATGAATTCACTCTGAACTGGCGCTTGAAGCGGCCGCTTATTTTCGCTCAGCAACGTTGAAACGTGATAAAGTAGTAGGCTGCACGTAGCCGAGTTATTCGAGTATGAATTCACCTTTACGCTGGCGAGTCGCAGCGTGGGCGAGCCGGCGCTGCTAAGCTGCACGTTCATGTCCGTTGCGGACGAACCCCTTCCAGTCCTGGAGGTGGGCGATGTCCGACTTTTCAGCCACGAGTTGGACGACGGACTCCTGCAAGCGTCTCCGGCGATCGTCTCGTCCCCGGACAGCGATTTGTTCTGCAAATAAAATAACGATCATTGCTAAGTCGCGCACCCATCAGCTCGGCCGTCGTGCAGGGGCCGCGTTTGCGGGAGGAAGTTCGCCGTTTACTTGGTTTCACAGTCACCACGTCGCCACGTTGATGATTCTTCTGCGTGGCGCGCTCATCGAGTTCCCGAAAGGATACAAAAGATCGGTACCGGTAAACTCGCTCATTATTCAAATCATTGAGCGACAAGCGCGCGATCGTCAAGACGATCGACCGGATCGACAGTCACCTTCGGGATTTTCGTATAAATATTTAGTCGGCGGGAATCTCTCACGATTCCCAAGACGATTTCGTGGCGAGGACTACCGGCCAGACCGTGGCGGACTGACCGTTTACTTGAAAACGCGACGCGACGCAAGCCGGCAAGCGAGAGACTCGGGTCGAATTTATAATTAACGCGGCCTGTAAACGGGACACCTACTGGAGTCGGTGGCCCCCGTGAGACCACGTCGAGAGAACATGGTTGTCGTCGTTGTCCCTTTCGTCTCTCGCACTTGGATATTTAAGAAGCTCTTCCGCGAGCTGTCCCAGCTATTTCCTCCCCGCTATGTATGCCGGTACGCATATTCCGCTATCCACGTCACTACCTTCCTCGCCATTGTGCTTGCACCGGGCGACGAAAAAATTTAAAAGACTTAAATAAACTATTTTACGCATTAGCGGTCCGAATCAGTTTTGCAAAACGGCGTCTCATTTTGCGAAACGCGCGATCGGCAATATCTGTACACGTATAGAATGTCTGTCTGTTTTCTATATACTTCTAGATCCTTTGATCGATTCAATTTTGCACGGTTGCTGTCCAGGCTCTGTAGAAAATATAGGCTACATGAAACCTGGGGACACTCTATTCTCCGATTTTATCCCCTCGACACTTTGTGATAAACTGAGCAATGCCGGATAGTTTTAGCCACTCTGTAATACTTGGCGTACGTACTTTCTTTTTCGAGAGGACGTCGAGATATATCCCGAACTCCGCTTTACATAATCCTTAAGCAGATCCGCGAGGATCGTTCGCTAATTACTAAAAGCAGTTGCGATTTATACGGCGCCTTTGTGAGAAAACTAGCAGATGGCACGATACCACCCACAGCTTGTAAAGTTTGGAATAGTTTAACTTGTTTAACTTCTTAGAGCTGGTGAGGAAAGAACAAACGACGTTATTAGCGCTTTAAAATGTATGACGCCTCGTTACTAGCCGCGTTGGCGCATTGGCATAGTGTCAAAAATCTCCCTTGCATCCCGTAAAGTGCGTTTCGCGGCCGCGTACTCGAGCGTTTAATTAACTCTCGCTTCAACGACACGCTTAATGCGCAAACACACTCTAAACGTACCCACGACGTACGATGCTCCTGCTTGTCCTTGCGATAAGTTGGCGTCGATCGCGGTGAGATTACATCCTGAAGGATCGGTTGGCGCTGAAGCTGCGCCACGTACGCCATGCGGAAAGCATTGCCAACGATGGTATTCAGCTCCTCCGCCTGCAAGCAGACAAGAATGCGCAAATTTTAACGTGAATCTTACACAATGAGCAACTTTGAGAAGCAATTTTGCGAGCTCTCGTTACGCTATCTCCGCGAACTGATCGTACAGTTACGATCCGCCATTTTCAGCTTAATTACACGAAATGTGCTTAAACTCGCGCAGTGGTATCAGAGAGTCCACGTTGTTGATTCTTTACGAAGAAATATCCTGGAAAATACTCGAGGAAAAGACAAAGCGGTGGGAGCCAATTAATTAGGCTATCCTGTTTGACGCCTTGTTTAGCGGAAATACAGTTGAGAAGTAAATCTTTCTCCCTTGAAGAAAATGTTTCTAATTTTCTAGACAAACTTCTTCTATATAATACTTTTTAAACTTGAAAGACGAAAAAAAAACTGACTACTTTATACAGCGACTGCGTCGCTCGACAAAATTCGATCGTTGTGCCATTGTAAGGTAAAAGTACTAATGGCCGTACACGTGCCTAATCGTAGACATACTCATTGTTTTGGTCTTAACACGTTCCGTGCCGAACTAATTTTAACGTGACTTGTCATCCACGCCACGTAGACCTCATAGCCGCACAGAGAGAACGATTTGGTTGAATCAAATAAACTTCTTTGGAATAGTCCAAACGAATTTTTTGGTTGATCGAACCAAATTTTATTTGACGCAATAAAAATATTTATTTGCGGCTTAATTTCAAAAAAATATTTTTGTTGTGTCAACCAAATAATTTGTTTGGACTATTCCAAAGAAACATTTATCTAATTTAATAAATCGTTCTCTCTGTGCGTAAGCGCCGTTGGCTCACGCGCCGTCATATTATGAACCAAATTTTATTTGTCCAACAACGCGTGTCTCACATAATAATTATCAAAATATTTCATGATTGTATTTCGTTTTAGAGCCAAAACGTCTAATGGTCCAAATGGAAAATTTTGCGCGGATGGCACGAAACGTGTTAATATATTCTATGTGTGTTGGAAATTTAAATATTCGTATTTGAAGACCAAAACAATAAGAATATCCAGTATCGGGTACGTGTCTGAAAATTGGTGTTTTTACTTTACCAGGCATTGTATATGTTAAAAGTGGACGAGCAATTTATAGCGCTCGAGAGCAGTGCTGCTGGTGTGCAGTGGGTTGCAGAACTTTGCAAGTGATTCTATATAGAAACGATATTCTTTTGTCCCGTTCTCTCTTTTCTCCCGGTGGCCAATTAGATTTTTCTGGTTCCGCCGGCGAAGAAGGTGAAACAGGCGGTCCGGCCGAAGAGCAGACGCCGCCGTGCTGCAGCGCAAACGCGGGTGTCTGAATGTGTAATAAGCACTCGCGGGGAGCCGCAAGCCTTGGCTCGGCCGCAGCCGCGCTCGTATGTGCGTTTAGAAAACTCCAGCTTCATACGCATTCGCGCTCGATCCGAGTGCAGGTGGCTCGTACGAGTGCGCGTGCACGTGTATGTACGTGTGCTCGCGCGCTCGCGCACTTGACGAACGGCGGTGTACAGAGACACGTAGACAGAAATGGGAAAAAGGTCGGCGAGGGTGCGGAAGGCTATCTCCCACCCCTTTCCGAAAGCCGGTGAAAGCCAGGACGAGGTGCGTATTAATGCGCACCGGCCGGCCGACGAGGGGCTACGATTCTAAGAGGAGTATTGTACGAGCGGTAACGGACGGACGGGCCTGCGATTACCGTCTCATCCGCGTAACTTTTCCTTTCACGGTGCATAGCGTAGCAGCGGCGTGAGATATTCGTTGCGCCCAGGGAGATATCCAATTGTTTCGCGTCGTCAAGTACGTACATCTCGACTCGCGTACTTGCATTCCTCGCCCTACGGTACTTGCCTATGTATTCTATCTATCTATATCTCTCCCTCTCTCTCTCTCTCTCTCTCTATTCCCGCGACATTGTTAGGACATTGTTGGTAAGCGGCGCGGAAATCCTTCCAGATCTCTGCTTGAGTTTCGCACCGCCCTAGGTGGGAAATGCATTCTCCAGAGCCGGCAGATCGGCTCGAGTGCGGCGGAAATGCAAACGAAAGATAGAATCGCGCGGCGCGTTCCGCGTGCAGGGGTGTGTATTTACCAATAATGCAATATTGATTTATATACAAGCTCGCGCGACCATCATTGTGCAAACTCGGAACTCGGAGATATTTAGGATCGTTGTTGGGCTTGTCGATCACGAAGGACGAAGCAGGGGATCGACAGTGCGAAATAAGGGACAATGCGTTTTGCTGATACGCACTCCGGAGAGAACAACAGCTGGCGAGCTTTCAGATTCAAGCGCGCGGGAGTACGCGCCCTTGCGGCAGTGTTCATTCGAATAATTTCATAGTTTTGCGGTTTGAGGTCAGGCCGAATGATTCCACTAGGAATGAGATATTTCAATTACGTTAGCGCGCGCGGACCAAGCAGCAAGCAATGACTCGAGCTATAATTGCGGACCGGGCGCACGGCCGTCCCGTAACTCGCCAAGTCACAGCCGAGTACTCTTCCGCCGCACTCTACGCGCATATAAATCGTCATTTATCCGTGTGCTGTAAAGTTCTTGCAATTGCCGCTCAAATGCAGCGATATATGTATGAGGGATTTTACTTTGCGAACAAGCGCGAAATGGCTACACTTACGAGAAGAACTTATTTCTCGACTGTCCTCAATTCATATTTTAAGAGACGCCGGTGTCCGTTGCGAAGATACCGGAAAAGAAGCGTCTTAAATTTATATTTTTCAAAAATGAAAATCGAATATTAAGTACGCAGCGTAGCTCCCTAATAAGTAATTTGCATTTCTGAAATGGCTGTGGTAGTTTGTCGATGCAGTCTCCATTGGTTAGAAATTCGAATTTCAACAGAAGCGGAGTTTGAGAACATGAGTATACAAGCTGTCCCATACCAACCGTCAAATATGGAAGTGGCAGATAGTACAAGTCTCCATCCCTTTGCCTCTCCAGAATAACGAGGCTAGTCTAAAAGACGGAAATACGCATTTTTTGGCGCGCAACACTAACTGCGTTTCACCACATAGGCGCAATAAGCATCAAAGCTATTTAATTAATAACTCATGAAGTTATGAACTCATGGAAGCTCGTTTAAAAAGAAGATTTTTCACTTGACTTCTACTATCTACTATTTCAATATTTGGTGGTTAGTGTGAGACATTCTCTATATTTAAAAACATTTTTTTTCAACTAGGTTACCAGTGCATGTTCGTCAGACCAGAATATCGGTGAAATATCGGTGGGTGATTTAAACTCGCGTTCTTTTGAAACGTTGAATCATTCGCTCTCTTCTTTCTGTCGACAAACACCTCTCTGATACGTCCCTGTTTTCGCACATCCGCCATCGAAATGGTGATGCGATGAATTTTTCCCAACCGCTTCGATCGAGTTGCGTTTACAACTCAGCACACACAGTGGAATACATCGGCTGGTTCGGCTCTATTAACTTTTCAGTTAAATCTATTATTTCTATTGGACGTGTATGCGTGCGCGCAAAGCGCGTCGGGGCAGGAGGCAGAGGATATCATCGATGAAAACTATTCAGCAACTATTCAGTAATTCAATCACATTCAGTCGCAGCGTGGGAAAATCTAGCGATTCATATATCGAGGTGGAAGAGGAGAACTCCTCCCGCATTGACGCGCTACATGGAAACGCAAAAACGTTCCGGCGAGATAGGGGTTACTCGCTCGCGACGGAGCGAAGAGTCATGTCATAAGGAAGAATTTATTGTCGCCGTGGGCGGAACCTGCGCGGTCCTGGCCGGGACCCTGCCTCGTCGACCCCTCCGGCCGACAATCGAAAATACGGTCCTGAGATTCCCGCCCCGAGGTGGAATTTAAGCGCGATGAAATCATCAGCGCCGACTCTTCTTTCTTCTTCTTCTTCGTCTTCCTCTCCTCCGCTCTACCCCGTCCTGGACATTGACTCGAACAGGCACTGACCCTCTCCACTGCGTTTAGATTCAGGCCCGTTTGACCGATCAACCGCGATCACACCGCTACATCGTGCAAACCGAAGTTACGCGACTTTCCGCGTTGCCCTCGATCGCGAGCGATATATCGCGGCGGGAAAGACAAAATGTATGGAGCGCGGAGCGGAGTGGACTCGCGTCGGACGGGCTTGGGAAAGAAAGCGAGAAATTCTGACTTTCGAGAGAAAGCCATTCGGCTCGCTTTGCTTCACCTTGATTCGTTGTTCGCGCCGATGGCTTTGGCAAAAAAAAAAGACAAGAGAAACGAGAGTCGAATGAGAAGAAGACCGAAAGGGCGATGGATCGCCGTAGCTTTGCGCCGGTGCAGCGTGACGGGCTACATTCCAAGCATTCCGCGCGGTCACGGCCATATCTCCAGCTCCTCTAGATTTCCCGTCTCGTGTACCTGTCCACCAATACCATCCCGTGTGTAAGCCGGTACTCGCAATAATGGCGTTTGGTAGGGATGCCCTCGCGTCACACTTTTGAATTTTCTTTCTCACATCGTCGTTTGTCTCGTCTCCTCGACGACGCTCGAGACGGGATGGCCGGTACAGTGTTGGGCATTGGTTGATTAAAATTTCCTATGACCAAGATAATTAGCGAATCAACAATTAAAATTAATCAGCCGTTATACATCATAAATCACTAATAATTCCGTCGCTTGGTGAGATTAATTATTCATCGATCGCATCAAAGCTTAACGAGGTATAATCGATCGCATCAAAGCTTGACGAGGTATTAATTTCGTCAATCAGTGGAATTATTTATGATTTTATATATGACGATTGATTAACTTTGGTTACTGATTCGCCGATTTTTCTAGTCGAAGATAATTTTTATCGACAAATACCCAACACTGGCCGGTACACGGGCACGGCTAGGGAGCCAGAGTCGGTGAGGAAAAGTTCCAGAGAGCGCGGTAAGAGCATTCTCACCGAGCGTCGTTATTGCACTTGCCTGTACCAACCAACCGCCGACACGACCATCGCGGTACCATCGCTCCGCAACACCAACACCATC